GCTCATATGTGCTCACCATTGTACAGCACACTTTAAACAGTGTTTTGTCTAACGAGAGAGCATTTTTGACCGCGTTTCAACTCAAGGGGGACTTTAGCATGCATTTTGGCTACCAAGTTGGCACTGTAACATGCATTTTGGCTCCAAAGGGGGCACTTTAGCATTATTTTGTCTCCCCAAAAGAAACTTTAAGATTCGTTTTGGCTCCCAATTCAACAGTTTAGCATGGCTTTTGGTTCCCAATGGGGCACTTTAGCACACGTTTTGGCTCCCAAGGGGGCACTTTAGCATGGCTTTTGGTTCCCAAGGGGGCACTTTAGCATGGCTTTTGGTACTTATTGTCTCCCAAGGGGGCACTTTAGCATGGCTTTTGGTACTTATTGTCTCCCAAAGGGGGACTTTAGCATGCATTTTCCAACAGTTGGGCCACAAGTATCATCTTGTATCTCCCCATACACACCACTGTTGGAGGGTATTGTGAACAGTAATTAGCAAATATTGCCATACAATGTCCTGTTTCAAGTTCCATCAACCTTACTTGAGCAGGATGCTCCCAAATCTGTATTTTACCACACCAAAGCCGTTGGAAATTATTGAGTTGTATCAATGTAAAAAGGACTGAATACATGTTTTGCTCCTTGAGATTATGGTGCTAGTTTGCGTTGGTCATATGAGAGAAAAACAATGCAAAAAAGATTTTTGTTGCAACATAACTCTATGTCCAAAACACTTAAATGATCAACAAAGCTATATTTGGCGACCCTTTTTTTTAATCTGAAAAATACCACAGGGGTGTACCACTAAATCATGGCTGCAATGTCTTTTGCAACAATACAGGCCTGCAGAATGTTTCGCGAGTCATTTTTTTCGTGCAAGGTGTTTACTGACGAATGTCATCCTGCATCCCTGCGATGCAGGAAAATGACCTTTTACTAAAGTAGGCCTTAGCAAAAAAGCTAATTGCTCTGACAAGAAATAAAGTGGGAAAAACACCAACACAAGCTGTTTTCTTTAGCTTTATGAAGGTATACAGGAATCAGAGAAACTGCTAGAAATCCCCCTCTGCAGCTTTAAATGGAGCACTGACTGCAGTTGCGTAAATAGCAATTACATCACATCCTGTGGGTAGTTAAAAGTCTGTGAGACAGTTGTACAGCTGTTAATTCCACTATCAAAACTGGTAAACTGAACTTGCATATATGGTTAATAAATTAGCGAGGTAAGAAACAGGTGGGAGCACATGTTTGGGACTGAGCTGCATGTCTGTAGCTTGGCTTGATTATCCTGAACATGCTCTATTAGTCTGGCCTCAGGTGGAACCCCCGATCGATGCTGTCTGAACAATAGTCCCTATTGCTTCTAAATGCATTAGCCAAAGTATTGCACAGGAATCGATGCAGTTCCAGAGATGGCAGAGCTCATCATGTGTCACTCTGACTCACTGTCTTACTGGCAGAAAAAAATATAAACTCTCAGGAGCGATGATCAACAAAAAAGAGCCAGTTTGACTCAAGGGCTGTCCAAGCTGCATTATGTGAAAGCGTTGATCACATGAGCTGGTGTTTGCACATCACGGAAGCTGT